CCTCCGGACCGCCGCGGGGGTCGCGCTCCTGGCCCGCCATGTCCCGGTTGCTGCCGCTGCTCGGCAGCCGGACCGCGCGCAGCCTGAGGCCGGGCCCGGCCGCCGCGCCCCTCCCGCAGTCCTGGTGGTGCTGCTGCGGCCGGGGGCTGCTGGCGTTCGGGGTTCCCGGGGGTCCCCGACGCCTGGGCACGCACCCCAAGAAGGAGCCCATGGAGGCGCTGAACACCGCGCAGGGCGCGCGCGACTTCATCTACAGCCTGCACTCCACCGAGAGGAGCTGCCTGCTCAAGGAGCTGCACCGCTTCGAGTCCATTGCCATCGCCCAAGGTGAGCGGGGTGGGGGCTGCTGGGGTTGCCGCCGGCCGCACCCCTTCCCGCGGAGCCCTCCCCGCCCTCGGCTTGGACCCCCGCCGCCGCCCCTCCCGCTGCCACCCTGGCCCCGCGCCTGGGACGGCCGAGGGGGGAACTTTCCAGCTCCTGAGTGTCCCCGAGGCAGGTAGGACACGCGCGGACCGTGCCAGGCAGCTGGGGCCAAGCCTGGCTGGTGCCTCCCCAAGCCACCAAGTTTCGAGCTGCAGCCTGAAATGCCAGCTGACGCTTGGGATTTTGAGTGGATGTGTCTTGTGCCTCCCCTCTCCAGCCCTCCTGTCCCTAGTCCATGGTACCTACATGTGAACGTGCCCTAGCAGGTGGCATGTCCTGTCTGTTCTGAGAAGTACTACAAACCCCACGGGCAGGAGGAAACTTTCTTGAAGGTGTATGGATAGCCCCCGAAAAGGACTGTATCTTTCCGAGGCAGGGATGCTCCCCAGTTGCGTATTGCCGCTCACATCTGGTTGTATTCATGTCAGCAACCGGGAGCATTTTCCAGGGAGATGTAAAGAATGCCCGCAACTGTGGACATGTACTTGGAATCCAAGAGGTTCAAGTTAAACTCCAGTTTCTGTTTCCTTCTCAGAGTTTGAAAGAATGAAATACATAAAGTTTTTGACGGAGGGGGTAAGGGAATCTGTGGCTTGGCACTAAAAAACGCACTTCTGCTTAAAAATAATTTGGGAAGGACGAAAGGAAAGGTATTTTTAAGCAAACATGTTGAGATAGTTATTTTTAAAGTAGGTGAGGAATCCGGTAGGCCAGTTTCTTAGTCTAGGTGAAAAGGCTAAAAGTTCAGAAAAATCTTAAGGCTGGAAGGAATAAAGACAGAATAGATTCAATCTTAAAGTATTTTTGCTACATAAATGCTGTTGCATACACAAAACACATTGTTGCTATTTTACGTCACATTCTGGTGTGTTTAAAAGTTTTAAAATAGTTTACTTTTCTTCCCTGCAGAAGTTGGCAGGTATATAAACATCCCATAAGTTCTT